TAAAAAATCCTAAAAAAAAAATAAAAAAAAAAAAAAAAAAAAAAAAAAACTTTTTAGAAAAAAAAAAAACAAAAACAAAAAAAAAAAAAAACAGGGACTAACTCTGAATGTTGGGATGGATTCATTTACCATTAATAAGTGTGGGAAAATTGTTGTTTACCCCAGGGAAATTCATTTTGTTGCCAAAATGAACAGTTGTTATCCCTTTTAAGTTACATATTTTTTTAATTTAACGTAGATAACAATGATCTTTCGAGTGACTCAATTGTCTTAATTTCCTCCATACTGTTACATAACGAATTCACATATGAAAAAAACTCATTCTTTCCTAGTAATATGATATAAATATATCATTTAAATCATATCTTCATATTGTTTTATTTGGGTGTAATATTTCAAATTGTTTTTCATATAATTCCTCTTTGGTGGACAATTGGTATAATAAACCGTTTGTTATATCACATAGCTTTTTCGCAGATAAAATTTATACAATACTCCATGTTGTTTATATATAATTCCTCTTACAGTTCAATTTTGTCTGCGAGAAGCGTCCGAGAGAAACAGTAGCTCAGATTGCTTCCACGGGAGGAGAGCTGGTTGGTGGCATATTTGCCGGATACTTTGCCGATAGGTAAGGTTCAGCAACTGGCGCCCATCCAAATTTCTAATTTTTTCGTCGATCATGTCAGATTTTAAGCGATTGTAAACATTTTTGAGTGAACTAACTTACAAGAGAAAAAATCAGGTGTGCGTAAAGTTTTTAAGTAACACTTATTGTGTACATGTACATGTACCTATAAAAGACGCTTTTAAAACATGTTAAGACGGAGGTCTCTTCAGATGTGGACTTATGATAGCGCCTTTCGGACAATATTTCAGTCTGAAATGTTCCCTGTCTCAACAATACACGACCTTTTTCTTGATCCAGGTTTGGTCGCAAGCCCGTGTTTCTTATCTCCATCATTCTGGACGCCATCTTTGGAACCGCTGCCGCGTTTGCCCCGGAACACCATTCCTTCGCGTTCCTGAGGTTTATGATTGGGTTCAGTATCGGAGGAACATTTGGTGCAGGATTTACCCTGAGTAAGCAGACTTGAAGCGTGCCGGTGTGACAGGAATGGAAGTCCTAGGAATGAAAGTCTGACCTCCTATATGATTAGTACAAATGTAGTGTTAGTTGGGGTTAGTATATGGGACGAGTGTCACATGTACAAAGTAATGGTGAACGGACTACGGTTTTTAGCGGACTTCCATTCCTGTTACACTGGGGCCTTATTGATAAGAAGAATTTTTTAATGAAAATTGAAATTAAAATTCGATAATTATACTTTATTCAGCTATATATAATAAAATATAGGGAAATTAAGAGCTTGTCATAGATATTTGTCCGTTAAAGACGAAGTTTCAGCCGTAATTGTGAAATTGACTATCTATCAAAAGCACACTTGTACCGGGTGCATGTGGATACGGGATGGATGATAGGAAACCATTTAAACAATTGAAGATAAGTAGTTTCTCTCTCTCCATCCATCCATTCTCTCTCTCTCTCTCTCTCTCTCTCACACACACACACACACACATTCGCCACTATTCAGGTTAAATAAAAGAATATTTATTTTTGACATTTATTTATACATGTAACAATTGTATTCTTTAAATATTGATCTTTTATTTCTACTGATGTAACTCTGTGCCATTTTGATTTTATAGAAATTAAAGGGATACTAACCCTTCATGTGAGATTCAGAATTTCACAATAACTGCAATGTATTCTAGTTGCTACATATGCTTTAGTAAACAGCAATAAAACAAAAATAGGCTCAAACATGTTTTTCATTCTTTTTAAAAATATCAAATGTTAAAGTTCATCAGACGCAATAATTTTTTAATTATTTTTAAATTATTTTTAATAATTAATCTAAGTTTCATTTTTGTTTTGTTTCCCAGTCATGGAGATGGTGGGTTCTTCAAAGAGAATGCTGGCAGGGGTGCTCGTGGAATACTTCTGGATAGTGGGCGCCATGTCCACGGCCGGCTTCGCCTACTTAGCTACCAACTGGCGCCATCTATTGTTGGTGTCATCTGTGCCATTATTTGGGATTATTCCTTTTTTCTGGTATGCTGATCCTTAGCCTGCATTCATTACTGATTTTATTTATTCATTCGTTTGTTTGTTTCTTAGCTTGTATATTTTCATCCACCGTTTTTATCCATTCACCCATGCGTTCTTGCCTTCATTAATCTATTTAGTGGTTTATTTTTAATTATTTGGTTATATCTTGGTTCCAATAAAGTCTGGTTTCCTTATCCTCATGGAACTTTTACAGAAATCGTAAAACGTATGACCCTGAAAAAGATAAACGACATACTTAATTAACTCCCATTTTATCAAGTCCTGCCTGCGTTTAGCTAAAATTCTGTAAAAAAATTACCTCACAACTTTATTTATACTACAGGCTTATAGACGAATCGCCAAGATGGCTTCTGGCGTCTAATGATAAAAAGAAGCGAAACGAGGGAAAGAAACTGCTGGAGCGCATGGCGGAAGTGAATGGTCGCCATCTATCGGAGAAAGATCTGGAAGTTTTGGACGTCCAGGGAGATGAAGTTGAGAAGAGAGAAGAAGGTTTACTGCGGATGTTTAAATCCCCCAAACTACTTCTCAGTTTGTTTATTGTAACACTTAATTGGTAAGTACAAATTAGCACTTTTTTTTGCAATGGCGGATCCAGTCAGAACACCGACAGGATGAGCCCGCGGTCGTCCTACAAAATTTGTTCTGGGGTATGATACTCCGAAATGCGATCTGACACACACCTTGAAAACGGGTAGTGTGGTCCGATATACCGGGTAATTCAGGATCCTTATGTGCCGAGTCTGGTAGTTGGGTAGGCCTGATGAACCTAAATAAAATATTTAGCATTTAATGTGACGCCATTGCGTGAAGATTCGTAATCTCATTCCAGCACCTCTCACACAATATAGCCTCGTTCCTCAAATTTTAGCACCTCATTTCCCTTCTAGGTTCTCCGTCAGCATTATGTATGGTGGCCTCAGCCTAAACAGCGGCAAGCTGCCCGGGAACGTCTACGTGAATTTTCTCCTCATCTCAGCGGTGGAGATTCCCGCCTACACGTTGCTGTTCACCATAGACAAGCTGGGCAGGAAAGGGCCCCATATCACGTATATGGTTGTCGGGGGTCTGTCGCTTCTGTGTACAGTACCGGTGGACCTGTATGCTCCGCACGGTAAATATTTTCCATTTTGTTTGTTTCGTTTTCATATTTTCTTTTCTTTTCTTTTCTTTCTTGTTTTCCTTTCTGTTTTTCCTTTTTGCTGGTTTGTTTGTATGAGGTCGATTTGATCTTTAAAAGCTAAATGGCACTAGTTATTCAAATGCCATAGTACTTGTACGTTACAGGGTACTCCTTCTCGCTTAATTAATTAAAAACATTGCAAAGGCATTGGTCTATATGTTAATTAGATATTTTAAGTTAAAACAGGTTTTAAATGAGTCAGTCAGTTTGAAATGAGTAAAATGCCCTCCGCGGTCTGCGTGTTTTTCACGGATTTCATATAATGTTCTTATACAAATTTTTCAATTAATAAAATCCCTTCCAGACGCGCCTTCCACTCGTTGGGTGTACGTGGGTCTGAATGTCGTGGGAAAGCTGGGCGTCACGGCCGCCTATGGTTTAATAGTGATCTGGGCGGCCGAAGTCTTCCCTACCGTCACCAGAAGCTCCATGTTCGCCATCAGCGGTTTCTTTGGGCGATGTGGAGCTATGTTGGCGCCTGTTATTGTGGTAGGCGTAATAATAATAATAATAATAGAAATAATAATAATAATGATGATGATGTTGATTATGATGTTGAGGATGGATGCGGCAACATTTGGATGGCAATATTGTGTTAGGTGTGACAAATGGCGATGGAGAATTGTGGTAGATGTGACAACGGATGAGACGCAATGAGGTACGATAAGTGTGTGTGTGTGTGTGCGCGCATAAGCTTGCGCCAGAGAAAAAGAGAGAGAGCGAGAGTGGGTAATTGAATCAGGGGAGTATGTGTGTAGATAAGATAGAGAGAGGAAACACCCTGCAATTCACCAAAAAACACTTTTTCAATTCCAGAACGAGGCCAGATTTGAAGGTCCGGTGGGCGACTCCATACCTCTCGTGATAATGGGCATTATATCGGTGACCACTGGTCTGCTGGCCCTGGTGCTGCCGGACACGGCCAATGTCCCTCTGCCAGAGACGATAGAGGACGCCGAGAACCTTTACAGGTATGGATGGTCACTCAATGGTCGCATTCAGAATAGATGATCCGCGGAATGACTGATCCGTGGACTAAATATGGCCGACCCCACATCAAAAGAAGCCGCTTAATCCCTTGATGGCCTCACCTCCTCCTCGTTACTGAACGAATTAAATCTCGGCTCCAAGGTTTTATTGGTAGGCCCCTGCAGGGACGGCGCGTGTGGAGGCCGGGAGACCATCAAGGGATTATAAGCGGCTACCTTTTTACCGGATTGGCCATATTTGATCCGCGAATCTGTAAGACCGAGGATCATTTTTCTGAATGCCACCACTCATTCAACTCTCCTCTTCGCGCTTAGGTATGGAAGTCCGGGTTCCCATATAAATAGTACATGTTAGGGCTAGTCGGAGTATCGGGGTACGTTAATGAGACGAATGTCACCTGTACAAAGTGATGGGGAACAGGCTACCATTCCTGCATGGCAAACCGGGGTGGCGCATAAGGTTATCCCCAGAGTTCGCCGTTGTTGTACTAAATACAATTCAAGTTGTTCCCAAGTCCACGTCCACGTCCACGTCCAACAGAGAGCAGCGGGCACGCACTGCTCCTCCCCCTTAGTTTCTGAGGTAAGCATTTTATCCCTACCACCCCCTCAAATAATAATAATAATAATACGTAATAACGAAATCAAAAAATCCAAAAGAAAAGCATGCCGTTCCACCCATCCCTGTGCCAAACGCAGTATAATCAAAAGTCTATAATTGTGGTAATCTACTATATTTATATATTTCTGCTCCCCCCCCCCCCACTTCCCATTGAAAAGGCCATGGATCAGCCAGTGGAACCCACCTACCAATAAATCTTCCCAAGTATCGGGCGTTTCGTTTTTTACACGAAAGGGGCGGGTTTTGGAAAATGATTTCACTGCATGCGTTGATAACGTAAGCATGACGAGTGAAATGATTTCATTTTTTAGATTTCTCAAATTTTACCAACGTGTCCGCATAGTTGTATATACATTACACTAAAAAGGCGGAGTATGACAGAGAGATAGGATCGAATCTCGTTATTTTTTATCCAAAATTTATTCAGATAATCTCAGCTTTGTACGACTCAAAGTTGTATATTTACACCAAACCCCCTACTTTGTCTGGTGATCCACCTATCCCAAACATGGCTTTATCGTAGTGTTGCGTGCGGTATCGTCAAAAGTGAAATGTTTTTTGCTTCTTTTTGTCAAGAATTCTCCCTCAGATAAATTGTTACCAGCATCAATTTTGATGAAATATATTTTAAAATTAAAACAATGAAGGTTTAAAAGGTGTGCTGTTAAAGCCTTAGGCTTCGTTCACATGCAATGTCTATTTTCTAAATTCTATTTTCTATTCCGCTATCTTATGATCACGGTCTGTGCCCTGAATATCCCGCCGCGTAATTACTGGCAGCGCGAGCCAGTTACTTATAGTAACTTATAGTAACTGGCTCGCGCTGCCAGTAATTACGCNCGGCCAATGTCCCTCTGCCAGAGACGATAGAGGACGCCGAGAACCTTTACAGGTATGGATGGTCACTCAATGGTCGCATTCAGAATAGATGATCCGCGGAATGACTGATCCGTGGACTAAATATGGCCGACCCCACATCAAAAGAAGCCGCTTAATCCCTTGATGGCCTCACCTCCTCCTCGTTACTGAACGAATTAAATCTCGGCTCCAAGGTTTTATTGGTAGGCCCCTGCAGGGACGGCGCGTGTGGAGGCCGGGAGACCATCAAGGGATTATACGCGGCTACCTTTTTACCGGATTGGCCATATTTGATCCGCGAATCTGTAAGACCGAGGATCATTTTTCTGAATGCCACCACTCATTCAACTCTCCTCTTCGCGCTTAGGTATGGAAGTCCGGGTTCCCATATGAATAGTACATGTTAGGGCTAGTCGGAGTATCGGGGTTCGTTAATGAGACGAATGTCACCTGTACAACGTGATGGGGAACAGGCTACCATTCCTGCATGGCACACCGGGGTGGCGCATAAGGTTATCCCCAGAGTTCGCCGTTGTTGTACTAAATACAATTCAAGTTGTTCCCACGTCCACGTCCAACAGAGAGCAGCGGGCACGCACTGCTCCTCCCCCTTAGTTTCTGAGGTAAGCATTTTATCCCTACCACCCCCTCAAATAATAATAATAATACGTAATAACGAAATCAAAAAATCCAAAAGAAAAGCATGCCGTTCCCCCCATCCCTGTGCCAAACGCAGTATAATCAAAAGTCTATAATTGTGGTAATCTACTATATTTATATATTTCTGCTCCCTCCCCCCCACTTCCCATTGAAAAGGCCATGGATCAGCCAGTGGAACCCACCTACCAATAAATCTTCCCAAGTATCGGGCGTTTCGTTTTTTACACGAAAGGGGCGGGTTTTGGAAAATGATTTCACTGCATGCGTTGATAACGTAAGCATGACGAGTGAAATGATTTCAGTTTTTAGATTTCTCAAATTTTACCAACGTGTCCGCATAGTTGTATATGCATTACACTAAAAAGGCGGAGTATGACAGAGAGATAGGATCGAATCTCGTTATTTTTTATCCAAAATTTATTCAGATAATCTCAGCTTTGTACGACTCAAAGTTGTATATTTACACCAAACCCCCTACTTTGTCTGGTGATCCACCTATCCCAAACATGGCTTTATCGTAGTGTTGCGTGCGGTATCGTCAAAAGTGAAGTGTTTTTTTGCTTCTTTTTGTCAAGAATTCTCCCTCAGATAAATTGTTACCAGCATCAATTTTGATGAAATATATTTTAAAATTAAAACAATGAAGGTTTAAAAGGTGTGCTGTTAAAGCCTTAGGCTTCGTTCACATGCAATGTCTATTTTCTAAATTCTATTTTCTATTCCGCTATCTTATGATCACGGTCTGTGCCCTGAATATCCCGCCGCGTAATTACTGGCAGCGCGAGCCAGTTACTTATAGTATTTTATAGTAACTGGCTCGCGCTGCCAGTAATTACGCCGCGGGATATTCAGGGCACAGACCGTGATCATAAACATACCGCGAATAGAAAATAGAATTTAGAAAATAGACATTGCATGTGAACGAAGCCTTATTTGATGATTTAGAGAGAGTGACTTTGTAGTTTAATATTATGTGCTTGGGTTTCCTTCTTACTGATATTTCATAATATTTAGAACACGTGGAAATAAAATTTTCTTGGCTTTGTCTCGTTGAGCTTGTTTTCTTTCTTTTTTTTTTTTTTTTTGGGGGGGGGGGGGAATGAAAAGGGGGAGAAGTGGATACCTCTAAAGCTAATGGGGTGGGGTGGGGGTGTCCTCCGAACCCGCAATCATCATACTGTAAACAATCAAATGCCCATTGTAAAAATGTATACATTTCTTTTTTCAGCAAACGCTCCCAGAGCTCCGGAGACAACAGTTCTAAATGGCGACCTATTTGTCAAGATACCCAGTAACTCCAAGGAAGTGCAAGAATCGACTGTGACCTCAATTTAGCTTAGACTCACATCATAGTTAAAATTGCTTAATAGATGTAATCATCATATATAAAAAACAACAACATATGTTCCAGTATGTCTTTTGGAATAGACACGTAGTCGCGAGGCTCAACATATCGCAGGTCAGTATATAACGACCATACTGCTACAGGACACGACGTTATTCTCTGTAAATCGATTTTCGGGACCAACGATAGTTAAAATTGTATTGTCTTCTGGTACCTGTTGTACATAAGAGTTTAAACTCAAATATTGGTTTAACTTTTAGACCAAAATTATAGTCGGCTAATATTAGTAGATGGAAATAAACTATGACGTAAATAGTGACGTTCAAGAAGATGACGTGTGAATGGAGTGAAAACGAAGAATTTGGGCGGCTGCTAAGCGACCTGTTCTGCCATAATTTTGGACGTAAAAAACCGAAGGTCCAATCAAGGGCTTTTTATCTGTCACTCCCAGATGTCCAATCATTACACATCTTTAAATTACGTCACTCCCCTCTGTCCAATCAACACACAGCCTTTAATGACGTCACTCAAAGAAGTCCAAGCAATAGACATTCTTCACAAATACTTTTCCAAGACAGTGTGTCCATGTAATGTCCCGTTTTTGAAGACAACGACCTTTTAAATCCATTTTTGGTTTAAAAATGTGTTGTTGATGCAGTGTATCGGGGAATGTAGACTGGAAGTGAACGCATTTATTGCTATGTCCAGGCGTATGCTATGTATATCAACATTTTAGTCTACTTTTACCAAAGACATATCATTAGTAATCCACTTCAGTGGAATATTGCGTCTGCTTTTCAATATGAAAGATATGGCCAGAGTTCCACCCAATACTTTTCTCTTTAATGGGAAGATTCTTATGGGAGTGCTGTCTATTTTTTAAAACTGAAGTAGACCAAAATATTCATCCTTAAGTTAATAACAATTTGGGGGTTAAGCTGGTCATTTGATTGATTTCATATCTTACCAGTGAGCAACACATTATACACACACAAGGGCCCGCATACCAGGATAAAACAATGTTATTCCCCTTACATTAATATTAAGTATCTGTTGATGTTGTATACATTTTGTAAAACACGCCCAATACTTACATCTTAAGAATACTCTAAATTGGTTTTTGCTTCAGATATTTTTCACAATAATAATAATAATAATAATAATAATAATTAATTATAATTATAATCAAGCTCCTACTCAAAGATTTTTGCTCGGCCGGTTTCTGCGCTTGGATTCGATGTTTCGCACCACTTCTCGTTAAATGACTTCACTAAATGAATAATGATTTATTTAGTCTACCAACTGTCAGGTTCTTTTATTAGAAAGTGCATTTCGTTTCAAAGACCAGAATAGGGAAAGAATAGCACATTTGCAGGATGTTTAGACATGAAATTCCATGGTTGAAAGTTCCAAACGCGCATCGACTAAGTTTTAAGATTCAAATAGGGGAAATAAACACAAACTGACTTTTGATATAATTTCTTTCGTGAAAACGTCCTCGGGAAGACGTGTACACAATACAGTTTCACAACACGAAAAGTACACCAAGTTTAAATAAATATATGAGTAAAAGATCAGTGACATTATTTTTCAATTCTGCTGTTACAAAGCCCTCAGTGTACATTGAGCTTAACCGACGTCGTAACACTGAATAAACCTGCGTCCAAACAGTCCTTAGACATTCTTCAAGCGCCTTCTTTTAATTTCGAGGATTGAGAAAATCGCACCAGGCGAAGTCCGTCAATATTCATGGCAAATAACATTGTTAAGACCAAGGGGGACTCGAAGATTTCCGATGTTTACCGATACTGGCAACGGAGACTCCCGATATCTACCGAAGTTGAAGACGAAGCACTCCGATGTTAACAATGAAGACCCCTCGAAGTTTTCCGAAGTGAACTTGCTCACCGGGATCTGTGCTTCTATCATAAAGACCGAAGAATTTTGTTTGGTTTTTTCCTATATGGCTACGTCCATTTAAGAGACGCATATTTGTTCAAGCTTTTATTATTATTATTATTATTATTATTATTATTATTATTATTATTATTATTATGCATGGTCTTTTTTGTATGGCCTCTTTATTTTCCCATTTTTTCCACCGGTCTTAAAGCTAATATTCATAAAAAAAAATTAACATTTATGGAAAAGTAACAAAAACGCTATTAATATATTATGCTTTTTTTCGCCTAAATAACCCCACTAAAAAAGATGCAGGAGCGGCGAACTTTCACTACATCTGGTTTAGATTAATTTTTTTGGTGTGAATTGAACTGTATTGTACTAATACACCGTGTTGTTCTTATATTTCTACTCATGATCTCAGAGTGCCACTGAAGTAAAAACACTCGACCATTTGACCCTGTTTGCCTATCTATTATATTTAGGTGAAGTGCAATCTGAATGTCAATAATTGTTGGAATATTGACTCGGTTATCAAAAATAAACATACCCGTTGAGGGTAAAGTTTAGGAAGAATGCTAGAGTGGAATACAGGCACGTGATTCTCTCTCTCTCTCTCTCTACTCGTACGTGCGCGCACACACAAACAAACACACATATATATTATACATGTACCCATAAACTAAAGGTAGTGTTTTACATTTAGATTCAGTTGGTGAGAGTGTTAATTGGACAACAAACAGGTAAATGCCCACAACAAAGTGTCACTGAATTCTACTGGTCATAACAGTAAAACCTCCACTGTAAGCTTAATTGGACATTGAAAAATTAAACAAGAAGATGTAAAGAAATAATTTTTGACCTTTGTCACCCTCCAATGTGAAACTTAAGTTATTTTCTCTAGTGAAAAATCTCTGCATTTAAACCACTGTATAAGCAAAATACACTATACAAATAATAAACAACCTCTCACAATGCGACACACAATACGCAAAGCGTCTCACGTGGCGTTCGATTGTTCGGAACTTCTCAAAAAATCCTTTCAGGTCAACAAAACCCGTGCGCCGTTAATAGAATCGCGCGCGTGCGGAGGCAAAAAAGAGGAGTGCGCGACCTCGAGCAGATTTTGTGTGACTTTAACCTGCCAAGTGAAGATAAGTTATCTATGAGGCAAGCTGCGACAGTGTCAGAAGTGAACTTTGCTGTCCCGTCACGCAAAGGCGTAAATCTAAGCCCACTTGAAGAGAATCTCCTTTGATAGACTACTACTGGTACAGTGTAGTACATGCCAGCTTATTTAGAGCGCAGGTTGAAGCAGGAAGCAAGGACTCCGGTGACAGCTTAACTGTTGGCACGCGAGACCTGAACGTTGACGGTGTCAACGCTGAGTTGCACGGAGAGACCCCGAAGAAGCTAGAAGCAACGGGGACTCCCTCACGCGCACGTCGAGGTCGCTTCTTTAGAGGAGTGCGTATACCCGAGGCACGACGTTTGTTAGACAAGCAATAGGCCTACTACGTAGCAGACCGCTACGATATTAGTATAAGGAGGTATAGATTTGAGGCTATTTCAAAGATGACACAGTGAGAGGCTTTTTTGTATGACAGACGCGCTGTCATAATTTATTCTGTTTCTGTGACATTCAGAGAGCAAGTGTAAGTTTAATGAAATAGCACCGTTTTATTGACTCCAAACAGCTGCCACCTTTTCATCGCTGATCGCAAGGAAACCAAATTCACCGTTACGACTTTTACTGAATCTATGGGTAACACATGGACGTTGGCCGTTTTACTGTAACAGATACTTGGAAAAAACGGCCACGCTTTGCTGTGATAACCGGACCGAGTACAACGGAATTCACTGGGACATGTACTTTTAACCCGCTCGAGGGACAAAATTGTACCGTTTAACTGTTCCTGACGAGTGCCCAGTCGACGTGCAAGTAGGTCCAAGGGTTTCCTAAAGAGTGTGAAGAAGGCTAACAGTTAACCGTGATATTACTAAAAGCTGTGCACTTAGAAGCGGAGAGATATAGAAAACCGCAAGAAAAAACTGCGGAGCGAAGACGCTAAATCGGTGTGAGGAGTTATACATAAAAGTTGACTTACGCTCAGGAACTTTTTCGCTGGTCACGCTTACAGACGCCGTCAATCATTTTTTCTATCGTCACAGTTTTACGTCACAACTACGGCTTCTACGAGTCTGTCTTTTGAGGAAAGTATAACTTGCCAAAAAAAGAAACGTTAACGCCGCAAGGAACGCTGGAATCCAATCTAAAAGTAATCACAGTTGAATTTTTGCCTGCGTTGTGACTTGTCGTTTTGTAATAGTTTTGTAATAGAAAAGGGAAAGCTGCCAGGAACTTTTTTCAGCTGGATTTCTACTTGACTTTCGTCTTGGTGTAACGGGTGGAGAAACAGTTGAGAGATCCGAGTCGAAGAATTCAAAGCTAGAGAAGGCACGCCGCACACTTGGACAATGTAAGTCAGGGGGGGGGGATGCAATAAATAGCAAATCTTAGTACTTTATCAGATAACATCTATAGTAATGTTTAGGACTTTGGAACTTATGGAAACATTTTATACTAGATTTTTCCCGTAGATAAAATTACTCAATTGTATTCCTTTTGATGATTTTTTTTAAAATTTATTTTATTTTATTTTTTGTTGGTTCAATATCATAGCAGGTTTTCTTGATCCATCATTTAAAAACAATAAACAGTCTGAAAATTTTCGAAGTTTCAAGCACACACACAAACATGCACAGTTACGCATATCGATACACATGCTTCTCTCTCCGTCTTAAACACACACACACACACATTCACTCTCAAATCACACAAGATTACACACAACTCTTTCTCTTTCTCTCCCTCATTCTCTCTCCCTAAGGCACGCACACACACACACACACACACATGCACACACACACACGCGCACACACTCACTTTGACGTTATCAATAAAGCAATCGTGCCCTCTTGGTACAATCAATGTCAATTCACCCACCCTTCCCACTGTTACGGCAAATTACTATCTTTATCACAAGAAATGATTTAAACGCCTTCAAATCTAGAGTCAAGCATCTGTAAACAAGACACAACCAAGATTAAAGACGAACGGAGCCTAATGTAGTCTTTAAGTACATGAATATAGGTTTTATGTATAACTTGTGCTTGTTTGTGTGTCTCATCACTCTTTAACGATGGTAAGTGGGTAGATATCCGAGTAATGGGTATAAAACATTCCACTAATCGCGGTTTGTAGATGGCGAAATTTACCTTCCGTCTTTTTCTCATCCCTCTCCCCTTCTTTCCTTCCTTGCCAAACCCCCCACTACTTCTGATACCTCTGGCAGTAATAGAAACACATTTAGTGCGTTTCCCGTAACTCTTCTCTTTTTTTATAATGAACAACTGTCATTTCTGGTCGACGTCTCTCTCTTTCTTTTAATTCTCTCTCTCTCTCTCACGCACACACACACGCGCACACGCATGCAAGCACGCACATATGCGAACCAGTCATAAACTTTTCATATCCACTCAGAAACGAAAACACTGCATTAAAAGTTCAATTCCTCTCTCAAAAACCATATCAAATTTCCCTTTATCTTTCCATTAACCTCCTTTTCACGCTGACATATAAATAAAACACAAAAAATGACCTTAACCTTGTAGTTAACACACATTGGTACCACTATTACAATCTATAGACGCTCGTGACAGGCAGAAATGTGTGTGTGTCCACTGTGTGTCCACTTTATTTAACATGGGTGGTCAGCTCACGACTGGTCACCCCCGCGTGCACGTGGGGTAGATTTGTCACGAGCGCGCATTCACGTGAGGTGAGTGAATTTATTGTGAATCGGAGATACCTGCGATTTAGTCGTTAATTCTCAGTTTATTCAAGGGGTAATCTCCCAAGACGGAAGTACGTTGAGACTATTGATAATCCTGACATTTAGGGACCATTCCCACAGATATTTGGATCGATCTGTCTCCCTGGGGAGTCTCACTAAATTGCTGTCAACTTGGCAGGCTTAAATGTCTGTCACGCCTAGTAAAGCTGTTAAGGGGTAATTATCTTTACCCCCTAGCTGATTCGGTAGGCGTGGCAGACATTTAAGCTGGTTAGTTGACAGAAATTTAGTGAGACTCCCAAGGTAGTTAGATCGATCCAGATGGATCGATCTAGGCATGGGAACCCAGTCTTTGTCTCTTTTACATTCAGTACACTTTTCTTTTGTAAAATGATAAGTGCATCGACATCGTATAACTACATATCATGGCTTTCCTCGTCCCAAATGCGCCCATTAACTATGACACAGTTGCTGAGTTACCTTATACACCGATTAGGTGAGCCTTTCGATGCACACTTTTAAAAATCGTTCAGCCCTTTGTTATTATATTCAGTGGTTAACTCGTTTCCCTTCGCCCCTGCCTGAGTTCCTGACGTATGAGGGCGGTCAATGACCTCTAGGGCGGTCAATGACCTCTATATTGAGAGCGAACAAACAAGGTTTTTAATATTGAACCTAGATGCACCGAATTACAAGTTACCTTACGGTAATCTGCCTGCTCTTGTTGTCAATTCAATTGCCTTTCGTGTAACGTCAAATGTCTGGCATAAGATAAAGTTTCACAGTTGCTGCTCAGCAGAGCTATGCGCGGGCCTTGTCACAGAAATCTCTAAAGCTATTGCTGCCTTGTTGCACATAAATATTTGCCTTTCTTTCAGTTTCGTGTTTCCTCTTTCATATAGTTATTTCTCTTTTTTTTCACAAGATCGTGTGGAGGCGGGGAGACCATCAGCAGATTAGTCGGCTCTTCTTTCATGAAGGGCCCGCCATATTTGATTCGCGGATCAGTAGCTCCAAGGATCATCTGATGTGACTGCCCTCAACTATTGTTGCCCTGCTGCATATTGATATTTGCCTTTTTTCAGTTTTGTTTTTCCTCTTTTATATAGTTATTTCTCCGTTTTTTAATTTTTTTTCAAAAGCAGATGCGGATCTAGGATTTAACGAGGGTGGGGCACACAAAGTATTTCTTTTCTTTTTTGCCTAACTCACTTTTCAAACATAAGTTGATAGATGACGCTGGCTTCAGAACTGTAATGAAAAGGGCACAAGGTAAGGAAATTATCGCGGCAGGCAGGGTGGGAGTACAACTGACATACCAGTAATTTTTTTTATCTTTCCAAAGTGTCAAATGTACCTTTTTCTCCTCTCCCATTCCATCAGAAGTCTCTTACTTTTTTTCTTCTGTCACTGTTAAGTTTAATACCTTTAACAACTGCCCCCTCCCGGACCCGCCCCAAGCATGCTTCTCCTCTTGCGGACCTGCGTTACAATTAGTTACACTTACCTGTGGGTTTCTCTATACTTCTAGGACAAGTGCGATGGAGTTTGACGATGTTCTCCGACACCTCGGAGAATTCGGTCGCTACCAGAGACGTGTCTACGCTCTGCTGTGCTTGCCGGCCATCTTTGTAGCCTTACAGGTGATGTCGGCGGTTTTCTTCCATCAGACACCGGAACACAGGTGAGGTCCATGAGACTTCCGGTGTGACGAAACTGAGGGTTTCTGTAACAGGAAGTTCGTCCTCCATTTGGTTGTAATGGTTAGGGTTAGCCTGACGTAAGTGGTTCAAAATGTAGGACGAGGCTTACCTGTACAAATGAATGGGAAGCGGACTCTCTATCGTGGGGGACTTTCTGTCACGCTACACCGGGAGACCTCTGGTATTAGAAAACTGAGGAGCCGCGCTCCATTCGACACATACTGGTTAGGGTTAGCATAACGTAAGTTGGTCAGAATCCAAGACGGGGCATGCCTGGACAAATGAATGCCCTTACGAAAATTTCCTATAGGATTCCAGTCTAGGACATACGTCATTTGTAGGATTAAGGGGCAATCCTGCATAGGATTTGGAACTCGCTAATTGCAACTCCTGGGGCTGAGTAAAACACAGAAAAGCTGGTGATTATACGAGTACTGTTATCTGATTGCATTCAGCGAAAGTCCCCGAGGAGTTAGATAGATCTACGATAAACGAGAGTTTAGGGAACGAGCCCTTAGTACCTTTAAATTTGGGTTTTAAAGCTACACGTAGGACTGTCATTCGACTCTAAGTACCTTTGTGAAAGCAATCCGGAATGCACATGGGGTTTAGGGAGTAAGATACAGGTTCTTATTTCTTTTTCGAAGCCGATGACGCACGTAAAGGATTTTATGGTCGACTCAACTTGCCAGTTTCAACCAGTACTTTTCTAATCCATGGGGTAATCTCTCAACGTGCGAGACGACAAAGAATTTACGGGTTTTATATTTTACATAAAAAGCACGGACTATATTTGACTGTAGCAGTGAATATATTTGACGTAAGAAACCAACGGCATTTATGTAGTTTTAATGGACCAAAATACTCATATTAGATTACCCCTATTACTATTAAATCTTATTCAGTAAGTGGTTATGCTATAACATTGCTGCCGTGCCTTACAAAAACCAAAACGATGTGTTTGATTTATCATCTTCAACATCAAAATCATGGGAAGTTTATGCTGTTAGACATTTATGTTGAATTTGAGTAAAACAAAATAAACCTGTATCAAGTTCACAATTTCCATGGCCAACTTCAATGAGATGTCATCCGTTCTCAGGAATATTAATCAAACTTGAAGTTATGTTTGTATCTGTATGACAATTGTCCACAATAAGCCACTTATTTATTTGTCAATTTTATTTTGTTATTGATGATAAAAAAGAACGTCGTATCTAAAAGCACCAGACGTGTTTCCTACCTGAGAAATGGCTTCCTTTTAAATACAATTTCCTTGTTTACCATCAGAGATGACCCAAAACTTCTTTCGTAAGTCGTTTTTAAATCTCAATTGTTGTATTACAGGTGCAAGATCCGCTCATTATCAAACGACACTTACGAAGTTCAGGGGGCGTGGCACGAGGCTCGCATCCAGCATCACATCCCCGTGACGTCAGCGGGCACGTACTCGGACTGTAAATACTACAATTACATAGTGACGCATTATGACGTGTACGATGACGTCACAGACCACACCGTTCTGCGGTCTAACGTCACATGCAACGAATGGGTTTATGATAAATCCATCTTTGACGAAACGGTTCAGACTGAGGTGAGTTCAAGCTTTACACTCCAGATTAAACATCAGTATGCGTCTTGGTGAAAACGATTTTCAAACTTAATCACTGGGTTAACGTCATAGGGTCGTATGAATAAAATGACAGTGACATCATTGGTTAATATAACGTCAGACGATGACGTCACTGATCAATATTGCGTCAGATGACTATGTAACTGGTCAATATTATGCCTGTCAATGACGTCATTGGTAAATATCATCTTTTAATAGACCTCAAATGCACTGATTAAGTTCTAAAAATATTGTAGTTATACGATAAGATAAATTTTTCACATTTTCAGTTTAACCTAGTCTGTGGAAGGGAGGGGAAAGAGACCGTAGCACAAGTGGCTTACCTAGGCGGAGAATTGGCTGGAGGGTTTCTCTTCGGTCTACTGGCTGATTAGTAGGTATACACTCTGCTTATTTCGTTTATGTATACTACGTCACGTGTTATTGTGAACTATGTCATTGTTTTATGTGTGCTGTGTCAAAGGTTGCTGTGTAAAACGTCACTTTTCTTTTGGTGATTTCATCTGAATTTCGTTTTCGGTCATTGTTTTTTAAAAATATATATAATATATAAATATCAAAAATATCAAAATATTAAAATAACTGAATCGGTGAAATAGCTTTTTCATTGTCTCACTGCAAAGTCAGTAATGATCAGGGTCGTGAGGGAGAGTAAATATGTCATATGTGAATCTTGTTAGTAAAAAACGTTTAAACTCCTTGGAAAAATTACTATTTTTACCAAATGGTTTATTCTTTTCTATTCTATTATATTCTTTTCTATATAAGAAGACATTTTAAACCAGTTTTATTAATTTTACTCGGAATTATTCGCTATCTCTCCAGCACTGGTCGTAAGTTCGCCATAATAACAGGCGTACTCCTCCAGGGCAGTTTCGGCTTGGCCTCGGCGCTGGCACCAGATGTCGACTCCTTCACCTTCTTCCGGTTCGTTGTCGGGGCCGCTGACTCCGGAACCTTTGCTTCCTTGTTTGTTCTTGGTAGGTGAATAATACTGTAGAGTTAACTTTCCATCAAACATTTGACCTGGAGATATTTCTCTACTTTTATAATAATAATAATAATAATAATAATAATAATAATAATAATAATAATAATAATAATAATAATAATAATAATAATAATAATAATAATAATAATAATAATAATAATAATAATAATAATAATAATAATAATAATAATAATAATAATAATAATAATAATAATAATAATAATAATAATAATAATAATAATAATAATAATAATAATAATAATAATAATAATAATAATAATAATAATAATAATAATAATAATAATAATAATAATAATAATAATAATAATAATAATAATAATAATAATAATAATAATAATAATAATAATAATAATAATAATAATAATAATAATAATAATAATAATAATAATAATAATAATAATAATAATAATAATAATAATAATAATAATAATAATAATAATAATAATAATAATAATAATAATAATAATAATAATAATAATAATAATAATAATAATAATAATAATAATAATAATAATAATAATAATAATAATAATAATAATAATAATAATAATAATAATAATAATAATAATAATAATAATAATAATAATAATAATAATAATAATAATAATAATAATAATAATAATAATAATAATAATAATAATAATAATAATAATAATAATAATAATAATAATAATAATAATAATAATAATAATAATAATAATAATAATAATAATAATAATAATAATAATAATAATAATAATAATAATAATAATAATAATAATAATAATAATAATAATAATAATAATAATAATAATAATAATAATAATAATAATAATAATAATAATAATAATAATAATAATAATAATAATAATAATAATAATAATAATAATAATAATAATAATAATAATAATAATAATAATAATAATAATAATAATAATAATAATAATACANTTATTATTATTATTATTATTATCCTCCAGCCCCTCCTACTGTACATCCTGGATTCCATAATTCCATTGTAACTGTATATCCTATTTGTTTTTTTTCCTCACACAGCGATGGAGCTAGTTGGTCCGTCCAAACGAATGCTAGTAGGGATAGTGATTGAGTATTTCTTTGCTGCGGGATACGTGTTGGTCACGGGACTAGCCTACACGTTACGTCACTGGCGCCATCTCATAGCAACCATATCTGCGCCGTCATTTGTATTCGTTAGTTACTGGTGGTAAGTTAGTTTATTGTTAAAAAAGTGAGCTCACTGTCACACAAAATAAAATTTCATGTAAGCACTTTTAATTAACACTTTTATTTATCATATTCTCTTTAAGTGAATTTAACAATTTATAATATTTTACAATCCAACTATTTTAAATAACTTCAGGGTGAGAATTATAGGCCTATATGACATACGTTTTTAGATATAATCGTTCATCAGAGCTGCGATTTCTTAACAAAAGTAACAACTTTATTGTCAAAAGAGGTTGTCATAAACTGTATATTTAAGTCAAGCGTGCATAGTATTTTGTAAAAGGAAAAATATTGGAAATATTTAGAATAAAAGAAAGTTACATATTTGATTCGCAAATGGTTTATATATGCAATTTTACTTTTACACAGACAACATATCATTTATGCCCGATTAATGCATGCATAAATTGAATCTACGCCCTACCATGCAGGTTAATACCCGAGTCTCCAAGATGGCTTCTGGCGAGCGGGAAGGAAAGGCAGCGCAACGAGGCAGAGCGCATTCTGAAACACGCGGCAAAAATAAATCGGGCCAAACTCCCAGAGGATATCTTTGAAAATATCAGCGTTTATGAAGGTCAAACCGCCAGTCCTGTGAACATTCTCCACTCACGTAGACTTTTCACGACGCTTTTTATAGTTGCGTTGAATTGGTAAGTTGAGAGAAATCTTCAGGCCCAAGTTTCACAAAAAAAAAAAAAAAAAAAAAAAAAAAAAACATGGGCATATCTTACACTATCAGGAGCATTGTAACAGTACCCTTATATAGAAATCCTAGTCAACTAGGTCATATTTACTATGCCTGAATAACCTACCAAGCTACTCATCTTTCCCAATTCAGACCTTAAATGGTTAGAATATCTAAAAGTACCCGATGTTATATTTCCTCTTGAAATGGCCCCTGTTTCACAATAAAAATCTAAACTCAGTTTTCTGGCTTAATCTTTGTTACTGGGATTCTTCACGAATCACGCTAAACAAGGTGAACGTTTCACGCATCTCGGGACATAAAAATGGCTTTTACGGGTAACGAAAATGGGTCCCTCTTGGTGTTATGAGTGACTCACCAATCATTTAAAACTAAATTATTTCAATTGAAATGTAATAATATAATATAATCTTTTCCAGGTTTGTCGTTTCTATGGTCTATTTTGGCCTGAGCCTGAACAGTGGGAAAATTGGAGGAGATGTCTTCGTGAACTTTCTGATCATAGGCCTGGTGGAATTCCCGGCTTACAGCGTATGTTTCGTCATAGACCGGCTGGGGAGAAGACCGCTTCATATAGCAGGAATGGTGGTGGGAGGCTTGGCGTTACTGTGCACTATTTTCGTTGAAGTGTACGCTGAGAAAGGTAAATGTTCATAATAATTAATGCAGAAATGTTTTATGAACTTGAGTTACGAACCCGTTACTTTCCTAGAGGTTGCTCTTATGTCAGTTCGTTCACAAGTCCGACAGAAAATAAAGCTAAATCGGTTTCATCGGATTGGAAAAAAAGTAATACTGAAACAAATTTATGACGAAGTTAGTAAAAACCACTAACAGCTGTAGTTATAAATGTAGATGAGATCTCTGAGACGATAACATGAATACTTTCAATAGACAATAGACAATTAACATCAGGAATTATTTTCAGTATTTGATCAAACAGAAGTACAGTAGGAAAACTCAATACGTTATCTACGGCAGCACAATGGTTATATTGGTTTATCGCGTTGTTTTCTATGCTTCCGCGTGAAGTTCAGTGCTGTGGTGAAATCATGTTTGTAAAATTAACAATTTGTTTAGACTTAGACCTAAACAACTTTTATAGCCTCCCTCGAAAAAGTAGCACAGTCGCAAGACTGGGTTGGACGGAAACTTTTGAAAGTTCATAATTCGGTTTGTAACTCAGTATCACTTTGTACCAAAGTTTTCTCACTGAGCCCGGAAGCAAACCATATACAATATACTTCCATGTCCAGAGGTTCCAAAACGTTACTTCTTACTTTGTGTGGGTGTGCTAGGACAATGTGTTAGGTGTCCATCACATCTCAACGCATTCAGGTAACTGTCTCACCTAACACACTACTCAGCTGCCTGCATAAATATTAACACCTGGCAAACTGAGATAGAGCGGCGGGGCATGATTGCGACCTTATCAGTGGCGGATTTAGAGGGGGGGGGGGGGGGGGGGGGGGCGTTAGGGAGGTCCTGAACCCCCCTCCTTCGGTTTGTGGAAAAAAAATCACACCAATATTCCTCCTATGTCGTATGTTAAGATAGAGGTCCATTACATTTTTTTTATCTTTCAGGCACTGAAGCATACAAGTGGTCTATCGTCTGCCTCACCCTTATCGCCAAATTTGGTTCCACGGTCGCCTTCGCCATCGTCTTCATCTGGACAGCGGAGTTATTCCCGACAGTGCTTCGGAACTTTGTTATGGGGTTCTGCAACACGATGGGCAGGGTGGGCGGCATGACGGCTCCCGTGATTGTTGTGAGTGTGAACCCTCATGTAAAGTTGATAGCGGGTCCGCGTGAAGCGAACCTCCGCCAAGACAAATTATGAACTAATAATTTCAATTTAAAAATCTTCAATTAGTAATAGGATCAGCACCAAAATTTTAACATTTGTTCCTTGGCCCAATTCTGAACTATCCAGGAAAATTCATCAAAATCTGCCAATAAATTTTTGCATTAGGTTGTTTAACGTGACGGAGAAGTGTTACTGGGTCTAGGGTCTAGGGTTTCGCTCAAATCGGGAAGGGAAGGGAGTGGGAACAAGGAAACGGAATAACCGAAGAATGTGAGGCAAATATAAGATAGTAGACAAACACTATTTACTGTAAAATGTTTGGAACAGGGACGGAAAACATCATGGTTTCTGTCTTGTTTCACTTGGTTATACTTATTTTTTTCTTTTTCTTTTATTTTCACATTTAATTTTTTTTTTTTGGGGGGGGGGGGAGCATTATCATAGAAAATCGTACTTGTTGGATCTTAGAAACAACAATAGCTATGGGGAAAAGGGGTGGGCGTGCCCGACCGTTCACTCACTACATCCCATGACATTTATAAAAATTCCCCACACTTTTTCAGAATGAGATAGCCGCCGATGTCGTGCTAGGGAAAAGCATCCCCCTCGTTATTTTTGGAGCTGCTTCCGTTGTGGCGGGGATAATGGCGCTGGCGTTACCAGAAACCGCTAACTGCCCGCTCCCGGAAACAATAGAAGAAGCCGAAAATTTAAGGTAGAAATTTATCCATTTTTATTTTTTGCTAATTTTGTCTTTATTGGCCAGGATGTACAACGTTTTCTTTCTTCGAGGAGTCGTTAAGAACATATCTTAATTATGTCATTTTTGTTACTTTCTGTTAATTTGAAAAAAATTGTGACTTAGCTCACTAAAAATTATTACATTTTGCACAGTAAACAATGATGTCACACAAACTAACAGGCCGTAGTATACACTTACGCTTTGTTCTCACAGCCGGTGAACTGAATGGCCATACATAGAAAATATGCTTTGAATGGATATCTATTGGAAAATCCGAATCGACATTTTGATTTCAGATTTTTCTTTCGTCTCGTTCCAGGAAAAAGTCCCCCGTGGCCCCACTGGATACAACAACAGAGACACCACTCTGATGGCAGCCTTGTAGGGCGATGACAGATATAAGATCATAAAACTTTGAGATGGTGGTATTTTATTTTCACTTTTCTGATTTTGGGCAAAACAATATGGAAAATTCAGCACGTGGAACGGAAAAGGGGCGTGATCTGACGTATTAAAATGACATAGGCTATCAGGCGAAAGGAATAAAAAAAGGCCTACTGGCTGTTTAGTATACCAATGCACCAGGAAAAAGCGCCCATACACCAAAAGTTCACTTTTACAGATCGCGGAGAAACATGGGTGTTGTTGCGTCCATTCTGTTGCCTTGTGTGCGCCGAAAACACTGATGTCAATGGGTGCCATTAAGGACTCAAGTGGGATGTAGAAAAAAAAAGAAAAATAAAAGAAAAAGTCGTCTTGGAGACGTCTGTTTATTTAAGGATTTATATTAGTGATTGGTTTAATACGGGTGTATTTTACATGCCTATAAGGCATCTTGATATTGCCATTGCTGTTAGTTAAGGACTTTGCTCAGACAATCATTTATTCATGATTCTCGGTTACAAATGAGGTAAGCGGCTTTGAAGATTCTTGGAGAAGAGCAACGTAGTCGGGTAAGTATTAGTAGACTACGATTTCATCTCCTAAACGGTGTTTATTTGTGGAACGAGCTCCAGACCTAGGAGAGATACAAAAATTTACGTTCATGGTAGTACTTGATTGCCCTCTACCAGGGTGACAGATTTTATAGGCAAATTTCAAAAAGCCAGAGAATCAAATGACTGTCTATTTATCTAAAGACATATCCGTGTATTTCTTGTGAAAAACCAACCTGTCGACTTGGTTGGCATACGGCATGCAACAGGTACCTTGAGAATAGAGTCTCAATCCAACATGATTGACCGAATGCAATAAAACCATAAATCTATCAAAAATATACCGATGTGAATGAAATTGATATTTTGGTTGTATATCATCAGTTATTTAAAATTTGATACTTTATCAAAATTTGATGATTTACAGCCATATCTAATTTTCTCCAGAAGAAAAAGCAATTTTTGCCTGCTCACAAATCTTTATTCAACCCTTCGTATATTGAAATTGCTGGGTACAGACGTGGCCATTGCATTTGTTGTAATTATCAAACCAACCCTGCGCTCAGATTAACAAGGTATTGTCATTGGACACAAACGAGAGAATTTTTTCATCCATTTATTATTTTTTTGTGTAAAATGAGAAAAAAAGCTATACAGTTATAGAACATACATAATACTTAACATAATTATCCATGTTTGTTCTCAAAGCTAGCCGTTTAACATTTAAAAATTCAAAAGTGTTAAAAAAAAAAAAAGAATGAAACTAAACATTGGTTTTCACCGAGTACATTTACACTAGCCTCGGAAAGACTGAAATTCATCAGGATTGTTCAGAAAACAACCCTCTTAACTTAACCTTGCCATACAAAGAAAAATAACTTATCCAAAACTCCCACAATCAAGAAAAGATGACTAACATATCAGATCTAGTACATGTAGTTCACCAAAGGTCTCTCTGCATATAAGACAAAACCATAACAGTTTCAACCTGGTGATTCCACAAGACAAACAAGATGAAAATATTTAGATGAACTGCTTCCGATTACAGAAAGCTCTTCTTTACTTACACTTGGACTGGGAATTTTGTTCAAGTCGCAAAGATTCAAATAATGTGGGCAATATTCATATAGTTTTAGCTAATTTCAAATAAAAACCCCATTCTATGATATTTGTTCAAAAAATAATGGCAACATCATGGTATTTTAAATATCATTCTCTGCTGCATGGTTTGTCATTTAGGCCACACTTTTTTAATTTTATGGATGACATCCTGCGCGCGCACCGATTTTCGTCCGTTCTCCAAAAAAAAAAAAAAAAAAANAGATCGCGGAGAAACATGGGTGTTGTTGCGTCCATTCTGTTGCCTTGTGTGCGCCGAAAACACTGATGTCAATGGGTGCCATTAAGGACTCAAGTGGGATGTAGAAAAAAAAAGAAAAATAAAAGAAAAAGTCGTCTTGGAGACGTCTGTTTATTTAAGGATTTATATTAGTGATTGGTTTAATACGGGTGTATTTTACATGCCTATAAGGCATCTTGATATTGCCATTGCTGTTAGTTAAGGACTTTGCTCAGACAATCATTTATTCATGATTCTCGGTTACAAATGAGGTAAGCGGCTTTGAAGATTCTTGGAGAAGAGCAACGTAGTCGGGTAAGTATTAGTAGACTACGATTTCATCTCCTAAACGGTGTTTATTTGTGGAACGAGCTCCAGACCTAGGAGAGATACAAAAATTTACGTTCATGGTAGTACTTGATTGCCCTCTACCAGGGTGACAGATTTTATAGGCAAATTTCAAAAAGCCAGAGAATCAAATGACTGTCTATTTATCTAAAGACATATCCGTGTATTTCTTGTGAAAAACCAACCTGTCGACTTGGTTGGCATACGGCATGCAACAGGTACCTTGAGAATAGAGTCTCAATCCAACATGATTGACCGAATGCAATAAAACCATAAATCTATCAAAAATATACCGATGTGAATGAAATTGATATTTTGGTTGTATATCATCAGTTATTTAAAATTTGATACTTTATCAAAATTTGATGATTTACAGCCATATCTAATTTTCTCCAGAAGAAAAAGCAATTTTTGCCTGCTCACAAATCTTTATTCAACCCTTCGTATATTGAAATTGCTGGGTACAGACGTGGCCATTGCATTTGTTGTAATTATCAAACCAACCCTGCGCTCAGATTAACAAGGTATTGTCATTGGACACAAACGAGAGAATTTTTTCATCCATTTATTATTTTTTTGTGTAAAATGAGAAAAAAAGCTATACAGTTATAGAACATACATAATACTTAACATAATTATCCATGTTTGTTCTCAAAGCTAGCCGTTTAACATTTAAAAATTCAAAAGTGTTAAAAAAAAAAAAAGAATGAAACTAAACATTGGTTTTCACCGAGTACATTTACACTAGCCTCGGAAAGACTGAAATTCATCAGGATTGTTCAGAAAACAACCCTCTTAACTTAACCTTGCCATACAAAGAAAAATAACTTATCCAAAACTCCCACAATCAAGAAAAGATGACTAACATATCAGATCTAGTACATGTAGTTCACCAAAGGTCTCTCTGCATATAAGACAAAACCAGAACAGTTTCAACCTGGTGATTCCACAAGACAAACAAGATGAAAATATTTAGATGAACTGCTTCCGATTACAGAAAGCTCTTCTTTACTTACACTTGGACTGGAAATTTTGTTCAAGTTGCAAAGATTCAAATAATGTGGGCAATATTCATACAGTTTTAAGCGGATTTCAAAAAAAAAAAAAAAAAAAAAAAATTCTATAATATTTGTTCAAGAAATAATGGCATCATCACGGTATTTTAAATATCATTCTCTGCTGCATGGTTTGTCATTTACTATCAGTGAAGAGGATCGCTACACATTGAAAATGAAAATAAGTTCAAGTATCATAAGAAAACCTTTGTTTAGCCCTCAGATGTTATGGTGTCAAAATAAAATACCCCAAGATTCAAAGATCACCGAGAAGTCACCCTGACTGTCATCGAGTCTCTGTCCTTTTCAGTAATCTCTGAAACACAGGGTGAATATTAAAAGGCAATTTATGTTCTGATATACACTGACCAAAAAAGTTTGGAAACACAGTTATTTTGAATGGTTATATAAAATAAACATACAAACTAAGGGCGCATTTAGAACAGCAGAAGGGTTGGCCATATTCAGCTGTTCTGAAGTTGGCTGCTCTGAATGCGCCCTAAGGTAAATATTTAAACCAAATATTGATGGATAATGCATCCACTGTTTGTTACTTTTTTTTACAGAAACTGAAGATTTTCCCACTGCATTACATAGTTTAATTATTCTCATACTTTTTGGGTTAAGTGTATATGGCTTATTGAAAAAGAAATAAAATAAGTTCACAAATGTGAACAATATTAGGAAAATCTGCTGGGTAAAAGTAAAACAATACATAAACTAGAGAAAATACCAGCCAGACAAAACACTAACCATCCAAGGCAAAGCATTAGGGCTGAATATATCGTAGTCTTTAAGCCGGCAAAAATAAAAATAAAACAATATTTTGATTTACCAAATATAAGTCAAAGAAGTCTTGATTACTATCAACAATATGTCATTAAGAATAATAACATCCAATACATTTTTCTCATAAAATGTTCAACAAAATGATTCAAAAACAAGATCTAAACAACTTCCTGTGTATAAGATGAAATCTATACATTTTGAACAAACTTATTCATAACTTAAAACATTTGAGCTGTACAGATAGCTGTTTGATGCAAATGTATACTACATTTCATCAAGATCTTCACACTTGAAAAATACTACCTTTTTGTGATTTATTTTCAATTTGGTTAAGCAGTACACAAGGCTATATATATCATGAACAATATTCATGTTTGATTTACTGTACGCCCTCAATACAAACTGAAATATTAATGTATTTCATTTATATGAGCAGTTTACAAAGCTATCACAAGTCAAAATCTGAAAAATGCTAGCCATTTAATACAATAAAAATAGATTGAGAAAATATCCTTTGTGCAAAACAGGCACTGCCACTCAGACATCCCTTGGTACGATGGAAACATATTGGTACCATGCAGGCATCCCTTGGTACCATGGAAACTAACACTGGTACCATGCAGTCATCCCTTGGTACCATGGAAACTAGCACTGGTACCATGTAGTCATCTCTTGGTATCATACAGTCATCCCTTGGTACCATTCAGTCATCCTTTGGAGCCATGAGGCCATCTTGTAAAATCATATAGATATCACATGGTGCAGTGAAGCCAAATTGCATTGCCAGGGAGCTTTTTGTACCATTTAGACAGCAACAGTTCAACATTTATGTTTGTCCATATATATCTACCTAAACAGTAACAGATCTAGGCACAAGCTTAAAAGCATCTGCCTATCTGTGTGACATTGGAGCCAACTGTGGCCTTGAGCTTTTTTAATTGTACCTAATAGTTGTAATAACTTTTGTTGTACCATCTGGAAACATGTAACACCAATAAAAACTGTTTTTCTATATTTATCTATTTACCTAGACGAACAAGCAAATGACATTAACTACTTTTCTATCAAATAATTTTCCATTATGGTGAAAGATCTTGTTTTGGTAAGCATTAAATTTCGAGACCTTTCATACGGGTTTATTATTTCAACCATGGGAACTCTTAACTTAATATGGCATATATAGCACAACATTTAAAAACATTCCCAAGGAATGGTAAGTAAGTACTATCTGTGTCATATTTTGAGTCATTATATACTTGAATGTTTGATTTTAGACATTAAATAAAAATTGTTCCTTCAATTATCCAGACAAATAAAAAAAAAAAAAAAAGAAATTTAGTTAAGCATATCATTTGACTCAAAACAGTGCATTTTCAATTCACACCATCTACACCACCTAATATAAAAAAGGGGGTGTACAAAAATTTCCACATTNAAGAGAATGCATGAAATAACCTTAAATAGATTTGGTAATATGCAGCACATATATATTCATGACTTTTTACCTTTCTACGAAGTAGGCCCTATTCACAATGCTTTAATATTTTGAGAGCATGGATAAAGACATGTTGTTAGTTTGATACGTGTTTCTGTGGTAAATTAGTGTTTCCAGCTGTGTACTGAAAACATAACTTTTCTTAAGCAGTTTTTTTTTTGACTGTTTTTTTTTTTTCGCCCGCTCGCGCCGATTTTGGGGTCCCCAGAGGATGTCATCCATAAAAATAAAAAAGTGTGGCCTTACTATCAGTGATGAGAATCTCTACACATTGAAAATGAAAATAAGTTCAAGTATCATAAGAAAACCTTAGTTTAGCCTCAGATGTTATGGTGTCAACATAAAATACTCCAAGATTCAAAGATCACTGAGGAGTCACCCTGACTGTCATCAAGTCTCTGTCCTTTTCAGTAATCTCTGAAACACAGGGTGAATATTAAAAGGCAATTTATGTTCTGATATACACTGACCAAAAAAATTTGGAAACACCGTTATTTTGAATGGTTTTAAAATAAACATACGAACTAAGAGTGCATTTAGAACAGCAAAAGGGTCGGCCATATTGGATCTGTTGGTTGGCTGTTCTGAATGCCCCCTAAGGTAAATATTTTAACCAAATATTGATGGATAATGCACCCACTGTTTGTTACATTTCTTTTTACATAAACTGAAGATTTTCCCACTGCATTAGACAATTAAATTATTTTTTAATTATTTAAAAATGTTCTCATACTTCTTGGGTTTATTGTATATGGCTTATTGAAAAAGAAATAAAATAAGTTCACAAATGTGAACAATATGAGGAAAAGCTGCTGGGTAAAAGTAAAACAATACATAAATGAGAGAAAATACCAGCCAGACAAAACAATACCATTCAAGGCAAAACAATAAGGCTGAACATATCATAGTATTTAAGCCAGCAAAAATAAACATAAAAGATTATTTTGATTTACCAAATCTAAGTCAAAGAAGTCTTGATTACTATCAACAATATGTCATTAAGAATAATAACATCCAACACATTTTTGTCATAAAATGTTCAACAAAATGATTCAAAAACAAGATCTAAACAACTTCCTATGTATAAGATGAAATCTATACATTTTGAACAAACTTATTCATAACTTAAAACATTTGAGCTGTACAGATAGCTGTATGATGCAAATGTATACTACATTTCATCAAGATCTTCACACCTGAAAAATACTACTTTTTTTGTGAATTATCTTCAATTTGGTTAAGCAGTACACAAGGCTATATATTATAAACAATACTCAATTCATGTTTGATTTTCCTGTACACCCTCAATACAAACTGAAATATTAATGTATTTCATTTATATGAGCAGTTTACAAAGCTATCACAAGTCGAAATCTGGAAAAAATGCTAGCCATTTAATTAGATAAAAATAGATTGAGAAAATATTCTTTGTGCAAAACAGGCACTGCCACTCAGAAAACCCTTGGCACCTTGCAGGTATCCCTTGGTGCCATACAGGCATCTCTTAGTACCAATGTTTCCATGGTGCCAAGGGATGGCACCACAGAAACAAATTCGTACCATGCAAGAATCCCTTGGTACCATGGAAAAAACACTGGTACCATGCAGCCATCCCTTAACACAATGCAGCCATCCCTTGGTACCATGCAGCCATCCCTTAACACAATGCAGTCATCCCTTGGCACAATGCAGTCATCCTTTGGAGCCGTGAGGCCATCTTGTGATATCATACAGATATCAGACGGTGCAGTGAAGCCAAATTGCATTACCAAGGAGCTTTTTGTACCATTTAGACAGCAACAGATCATCATTTATGTTTGTCCATACATATATCTACCTAAACAGTAACAGATCTAGGCACAAGCTTAAAAGCATTCACTTATCTATGTGACTTTGGAGCCATTTGTGGCCTTGAGCTTTTTTAATTGTACCTAATAGTTGTAATAATTTTTGTTGTACCATCTGGAAACATGTAACACCAATAGAAATCATTTTTTCTATATTTATCTATTTACCTAGACGAACAAGCAAATGACATTAACTACCTTCTATCAAATAATTTTCCATTATGGTGAAATGTCTTGTTACGTAAACACTAAATTGTGAGACCTTTCACATGCGTTTACTATTTCAACAAAAATGGGAACGCTTAACTCTATTTGGCATATATAGCACAACATTTAAAAACATGCCCAAGGAATGGTAAGTACTATCCATGTCAAATTATGAGTAATTATATGCTTGAATGTTTGATTTTAGACATTAAATTAAAATTGTCCCTTCAATTATCCAGACAAATAAAAAAAAAAAAAAAGAAATTTAGTTAAGCATATCATTTGACTCAAAACTGCATTTTCAATCCAACTTATTCTACATCACCTAATATAAAAAAGGGGTACACAAAAATTTNAACAACAAAGACATAAAAATAGAACCACTCAAACAGACTGTTTGAACGCTGTAATCAAACACACATAGAGTGGGCTGAGTCATTCTGTTGGTCTTCAGTGCAAACCTGTGTCAGGACCCATTCAGAATAGGGGACTAAGTTGTCCGAGGGTCAAATATGGCCGACTCACTTGAATACTTCCCCACGGGATATCTATTCAGTGTCTATTGACGGATTAGAAGGTAAGCTTTGGAGTGGTTCGCCATATTTGACCCTTGGAGTAGTTAGTCCCCTAATTGTGAATGGGGCCTTAGATGAAGGTCCCATTGGGTATTTTCATTACCCAAGAAAGCCACTTTTTATTTCTCAAAGATGCATAAAACATTTATTTCATTAGGCAAGAAGCACCTCATTCCTGTGACTTGTTAATGCAGCTTTTTATTTTTCTCCCTTCGTGAAAAGAAGTCATTATACATGGGTGACTCCCTATTGCCACTAAGGAAATTACGTAATTATCAAACAAAAAATGTATCTTTTCATTTATTTTTACACTTATTTTGTAGGGGAATAAATATAATGCATTTATGCCAATTACCTGATGGTCCCGAAAGCTTAGAAAGGTCAAAGGTTATGTCGCTGGTGCCTACGGCGGCATGCTGTGCATCAAGGATGTCCGGCAACGCATTCCGTCTCCCCGTCCGCCCTGTGTTCACAAATGTTTCGAGCGACGTTGTGGATGTCTCGCAGTCCGTCATCTGCGGCATGAATCACGAGCTGAAAGGGAGTTGAAATTGAAAAGATTAGACTTCATCAATGGGATCAATGTCAGACCTTATCGTACTAAATGTCGATCGATCTATCTCTGAGGGGATTCTCACTGAATTGCAATCAACATAAGCGGTTTAGATGTACATCATGCCTACAGAAGCTGCTAGGGGGTAATTAATTATCCTAAGCAGCTTCAGTAGGCGTGCCAGACATCTAACCTGCTTAAGCTGAAAGCTATTTAGTGAGAAACCCCTTGTAGATGGATTGATCCTCTTAAATCGATCTCGGTATGGGAGCCCAGTCAATGATAGTGGAAGATTGCACTAGTATCTTTCAAGTGCACAGTTCCCATAATGCTGTACAGCACAAACTGTGCGACGGTGAGACACGTGCATGTCTGAAAATTACTACATATATGCATCTTTGTAATCCTGATCTACCCACTAAAATCAACACATTTTAGGCTGATTAAACAGAAATGCCCACAGCTTACGTGACACAGGCGCTGTCAATATTCACATATGCTTCTATGTCTGAACACTACCAGGCATACAAATGTCTTCTTGAAACCCCAATCTACAAAATGATGTCAATGAATTCAAGACAGCTGGAACAGAAATGTTAACAGTTCCCACAAACCAACGCAAGGCGGTGGCAGTAAACATTTCCTTCAACTCCCAAATCTACCCACTGCAATTAACACTTAACAAGACCGCGTTAATCAATCCTGTCATCCTGACGACTAGCAATTAACACATTTAAGACCACTTTCTGACAAATGGTTCACCTTAAACTGAGCTCTTAATGACTCTATACAATGCAAAACGTCAATTCTCAGCCCACGTGTATGTAACAACTTGCCTGCAGTTAGGAAGCACTGATATGATTTCATATATATATACATATAGATCAGTATGGTGATTGCTCATCAAATCTGGTCAACATTCATTCCTGTGTGTGTGTGTGTGTGTGTGTGGGGGGGGGGGGGGGGACAGCGCATATTCAGAACATAATCCGCGGGACTAACACATCCACGAAATAAGTATGAAAGCATGCTGCATGAACCCCAAAAAAACACTGAACAGATTCCCTATGGAAATATGGGGTAAGCTTTCAAGTAGGTCAGCCATATTTGATTTGCAGATCTGTTAGTCCTCGGATCAACTCTGGTTTTGAATGCAACCCATGTGTGTGTGTGTGTGGGGGGGGGGGGGGGCAACAGAGGGTATGAAAGAAGGGCCTTTTTTTGACAAGAAAAGGTCCACTCATCTGCAGACTAATTGGTCCATGAATCAAATATGGCAGGCTAACTTCAAAGCATGCCACATAATCCCCGCAAATATTTTCACTTAGCCAAATCACTACTTTTTCATTACTTTTTTTTTCGCAAAATGATTTCAATTTGACTAAAGCAAGTCAAATCAACTCTATTTTGTTTAGCCAATTGAAGGCAGTTTTGGCATTTGGCTAAACTGGTGAGTGTTAGTGCTACCCCAGAGGTGATTGCATAGCAAACTTTTAAGTGGGTCACCATTTTTGATCCACAGATCAGTTAGTTCCTGGATCAACTTGGTTTCAAACAGACCCTAAAACTGAAAAATAACCTCTGTAGTCATGAGTAACTGAAATCATGAGTAACTGAACATGATAACACATATGGACGGCTGGGGAATGACATCATAATCTGATTACTGACTACTTACCAAATGCAAAACAAACTGATTAATCACTTTTCACAATATGTTTTGTCTGTTACTAATGACACAGATGATGAAACAGTTTTTGAAAGTAAGCTAGGCTAGAATGCCTCAGAAAGTACTGTTACAGTATCTGTACTGCATATATGTGAACAACTTGAAATCATAATAATAAAAAAATAAATAAAAATGAACAGAATGGAAGAGAGAGGTGTTCAAAAATTTTAAGAATTATTACGTTAAAGTAATAAATCAAACAGTAATTATTATTTAAAGTAATAATAATTATGTCTGTTAAGCTGATTGCAATCAGTGAGAGTCACTACAGCGTTAGTGTGCAAAAAATATTACAAACCTGGGGTAGTGCTAGCAAAATTTTTTGCTTAGCCAATCACCACATTTTTGTCAATTTGTTATCAAAATGGTTACAATTTGGCTAAAATATGTCAAATCAAGCCCTTTTTCTTTAGCCAATTTAAGTCAGTTTTAGCATTTGGCTAAATTGGCGAGTGTTAGCCCTACCCCAGCAACCTACATTACTCTGAACAGCCCCAAACACTGGAAAATAGATGCTTTTTCGTCAGATTAGGTGATGGCGTACACTTACAATGCAGCCTATGGAATTTATGAATATCAGTATCAGCAAAACACTGAATTTTTGGTCAAAAACAATGTGCCTGAAAAATTTCTACTTCAAGCAATGTGAATAATTCAATGAATTACCATGAAAGCCAATGTGTGAGTGTGTTGGTAACAGCCAGAGAACATCCCTCTCAATGTCCCCAGGTTACATATCACATTACATCACATTTGCCAGTCAAAGTGCTCCGGGATAATAGCATACATTAGTTCGTATAATGTTAGCTGGGAGATAGAACATGGAACATTTTTTTTTATTGCCTGTTTCAGTAAATGTAAACCAATCTTGCCTATTTTTGAAAGCAACCTGCATTTTTACCAAACAAAGCCTCCCAGTAAATTTAAAGTAAAACAAAAATACGGTGTGAAAGTTATGGGGCAAACATCATATGTGTCGGACAGAGACGGTGACGACGGGGACAGACAGACTGTTCAGAATATATATACAGACAGGGAGACCATGAGAGTTGACATGTACGTGTCTGTCCCCTTAACATGCCTCTGGCTTCTAAATACTATGCCAAATGTTCTCTAGCCAAATGATTCAGCTGTACTTTTATTCCATATTACATTTTCAGTAGCTTTTAGGTAGTTCTACACTGTGCTCTTTTAACTGTGACATTTATTCTTTTATATTTGGATATAACAGCTCTTGTCTTAAACTGTGTAATTCTGCATACATATAGATTATATAGCATTTTCAGCAGCTTTTATGTAATTCTACACCATGCTCTTTAAACTGTGACATTTTTTCTCTTATATTTGGATATAACAACTCTTGTCTTAATGTTAATTATATTTCACCTTCTTAAGATTTCATACACAGGGGCAAATTAAGGCCGTCTTCTGGGTCTTCCGGAAGATGGTCAGATTTTTCAAGTTTACATTAATGGGCATCTAATTTTTTTTAATTTTTCTGTTGGAAGACAGTCAAAAATGGAGGATGGATCAACAAAGATAATTTGGAAGACTGTCGGAAAATATCTCTGAATCTGCCCCTGATACGTGTACAATCTTTTAGCATGGAGTGTATGCATAATACTTCAACAAAATTATCATTATCATCATCATTACGTTATAAAATACAGAAATTATAAAACCAGACATGCTAGACAACGCAAATTCACCCACCTGTTTAATCACTAAAGTTGTGAAGTTTAACTTGGAAAGTGTCCAAAACTAAGGCTGCGTTGATAACACTGCAAAACGTGGTTCAATATGAGAAAAAACTCCATACACGAACCTGTATGTACATTTATTTGTCTCCAGCAAATAATTCAGATAAACCAATCCAGCACAAGGACACACGACTATGGTAATTACTCATTTCATTCGCACAAAATGAAATAATACATTTCCTAATAACGATTAATGTTTTTGTTAGTAATATTTGAAATGTTGTTTTTAAAGTTTTGAAAATTTAGTTGTATTTTCGAACAGATGTACATTTAAAGGGTAACTTAACAAAATCGAAAAAGTATACTAAAATTGTACAAGGTGCTTGAAAAGTTAAAATTATTACCGTAGTCAATATTTAAACCTTTTAAGGACTGAAATTATAGCTTGAGAAACAACATCCATTACTTCTCTAGTGTGGATATTTCATACTCAAAGTCTACTCAATATTAATACCACACAGCGATTGAGTAAACTTTGTCCCGCGTTAAGAGAGAAGTAAATATAGAAAACCTATATTCAAATATAATGAAAAAAAGTCAAATATCAGACTATATAGACCAGGTCATGAATATTTCAGTAGCTTATTGGATAAAAATAAATTGAAATATCCACTGGAAATCAAATGACCAAATAAAATTTAATACTGGACATAATGTGCAAACAAGCCTCGAGGACTTTATAACTATTGACCGAATGATCATACAAATACCGTGTAAGTAATTTGCCCAACACTTCAGGAATAATTAATTGACCAAAGTTTAATTGGCATGTCCTAATGGGTGGTCAGTGAAGTGTATACATGTGGTATTGATCAACTGGGCAACTGACCAGTTTAAGACCCCGTTCCCATACGTAGATTGATCTAGCAGGATCGACCCATCTCCGAGGGGTTTCTTGTAAATTACATTCAAAGGTGATGACAAAGAGTTGAATGTTTCCTTGATGATAAAGACATGTTACGACTGTCACACATTGCGTTAAATATTACATGAGGATGTTTCATCAATTTATGACTTATAAGAGAATAATTAAAATTAACTACCATGGCCTGTGAAGCACTCTGTGAAAGTACCATTATTATTCGATAATTTAAAAAAAACTGATTACTACCTCCCCCTTCAAAAAATAAAAAAGTAATATCAGTTATATTAGAAAAGTTAATATAAAGGCTTTTACAAAACCAGTTGGCTTTGCATGAGAAAGTTTATTGTTGTATGTGTCAAAAAACGATTATTTTGAATACGTATTTCATATCAGAAATAGTCAGTCTTCTATAAGTAATATTTCCATCACCTACTATATAAAGATACTACAATAACCCATAATGTAATCTGTCACTGTCAAGCTTCTTGTCATCTGGCATTGACGTCAACTAAAAAATTACTCCATACCTGAATACCTGACACAGCCTCACCTATATTTCTTATAGTCATGATCTATTTCTATAAATAAAATAAATCAATACATTAATCTTGATTATTATATATGGTT